ACTACCAAAAAAAAAAAAAAAAGCCCAAAAAGACAAACACTCAGACACACATTTCATGCACACTTCAGAGTGTGCCACCTCCGATTGTCGAAGAGTGGGCTGCCGTTGTACCGCTTGTTTACAGACGCCCGACCCATGGAAAAACAGCCTCTTGGCATGCCCTCTAAACTAAATACACACCAGCAGCAGACACAGAAAGTGTTTACTAAGCCTCCTTCGCTTTCTCTCCCTGCCTTGACAGGGTTTCTAGGTGGGCTGCAGGAGGTGGGCAAAATCAAAGACACACAGCAGCATAGGAATGAAAATATCACATTTTCTCAACACGAACTTTCTATTTTCTATATTCACTTAGTTCTCGACTCTAAATAAATAAAACAAAGTAAGAGAATCAGTGGAGGAACACCAATTACCTGGTGGGGACTTTTTTTTTTCCTCAAATACAGTATCCTTTCCCAGTATCTTTCTATTATCAGTAAAAGTTTGAAGAAGCTATTGCACAAAGAACTTTGATGCCACCCTCCATAAGAAAAGCACAAATCAAACTTGAAAAAGCCAATTCTAACCTCAAGAGTGATGATATCAAGTTCCCTGATTGAAATAACTTTGGAACCAATCACAGGCAGGCCAGTTGATTTTTTTTTTTTGTTGTTTTTTTTTTTTTTGTCTCTCCTCATAATCTGGAGCACTGAGTGGAAAGTCATGGCTGATGTGATTTGGTTGTTATCATCGTGATGGTGAGGGCCACAGTTCTCTGGAGTAATTACTGACTAGACGGAGGGCCTGATTGACCCAGACCACAAAACCCATTAGATAAAGAGCGCACCCAAACAATACTCAACCGCGGGGACCTAAGCTAACCACAGAACGCCCACTGTGGGGAAAAGAGAAGATCGGCAACACTGACTCAAATAAAATACCCCCCCCCCCCTTCCACCCCTCCACACACAGGAGCATTATGTCAAAATGTGCTGCTCAAGATGTTTTTGCAATTGTTTTGTGATTGTGCCATACAACACTCAATTATTAACTTTTAACTTTCTGGTGATAAACAATTCAATTATGTGACAGCAAATTTCAAAATATCTAGAAAAAAACTAAATAAATTATCAAAATCAATAATAAATATGGTGCTCTAGGGCAGTTACATAAACATAGATATACAATATAATAATTACTTATTTTTTCTGAAACCATCCTTTGTTCAAATTCAGAAACGCTTTTATGTGTATCAAAAAATAATTAAAGTATTTATATTTGTCTCTCTAAAATTGGATAATCTTTTTCTTCTTCAGTGCAGGGGCACATAGGTGGTCACTGTGCTGCTGTCAGGACATTAAAAAGGAATTTCAGATTTAAGTAAAACCAGAAAGACAATAAGCATCAATTTCAAAACAGCATGTACACTTGTACACAAGGCAGACACACACATATTTGTTGCCAGGAAAACACCCACATATTCCATTTAAGTCGAGTTTCATCTTAAAGAGCTGCAGTGCAACTTAGGGGGAAAGACGACTTCACCAGTAATTGAGACGAGGAAGCCTGGGAGAAGCATTGATTTGAATGTTAAGGCTTACGTCGCCTTCAAACCATATGCAGGGGTTTTTTGGTATTTCTAAATAGCTGTCTGTTACAGATGAATGTATGAAGCGTTTCTGCAATGAGAACAGTGTAGATAACAAAGAAAGTATAAAGAATGGAAAATGTCATTGAAATGAAAGTGTTGCCGCTACTTCCCCTGTACCTACAGTATACACTCCAGTTTTTGGATTCCCCCTCTGGAAAACAACAGATTCCTGAGTGATTACTGCCGTCCCATTTGATGCAAAACATAAACAGCTGTGCAATATTAGCGACTTAATACAGTAGCAGATTTTGATTTTAAGTTAAGGGTGTTAAGCAAAAATTGCTAAGTGATATCAGGAGGTCACTCTTGAGGTCAGGAAAGCAGATATCACATACCTGTTCCTCTAAAATCTTCTATTCTATAAAGAAAATGCATTGAAACTCTTTCATTCCAGTTACAGTATGTAAAGACTGAGCTCTGCATCTTAAGACGAAACCAACTAATCAGGCTTTGTAATCTAAAAAAGAATGAGCGCTTTTAGAAGATACCTTATTGCTCAGAAAAGAAAAAAGGAGCTTTTTTTAATCTGTTTGAAAGGTCTGTCTTTTGTCACTTTTTTAATCTTGGGTGAGAATTTGCTTCTATTCCCGGAAGCACACAAGAGAAGTACAAAGGTACATCTTAACTTTATGCAAAGTGGCCTGCCTTTAAAACTCCACACATCCCGTCAAAATGCAGCGATGGAGGTGCTGGTGTCCTGTCAAAAACACACGTTTTACCTCTGTTGACATGGATAGCAGAAGGAAAAAAAAACTATTCTTCTTTACCCATCAAAATGTAATTACATATGCATGAATAACAATTCATATCAGATATGCTAATCAGTCCGGCATAATCCTCTGAGCAGCAAATGATATTTATTTAATTATAGCAAATATATGGATCTTTCCTTTGTGTGCAATTTCTTTCTAGTATATGGGCATGCATGTGTATATGCTGTCTGAATTAACATGATGATTTTTAAGTTCCTTCCTCCAGCACAGAAAGAAGAAAGTAAATCATAAAAACATCTGTTTACAGAAAGTGTATCAATAATTGCAAAACAATGACCTCTCCTAATTTCAAGGAGTTGACAAAAACGCTTTTGTAATGTAAAAGAAAAAGTTCCCTTTTAACCCAAAAATTAAAAATAATTAAAATCAAATAAACTGAGATTTATTTACACATTTCAATGCCCTCCAACTCTCCTCCTTGCTTTTTGCCCAGTGCAACGAGTGATACAAGGACAAGCGCAAATTATTGTGGCGCCTGGAAAGCTGAAAAATGTAAACAGTTCATTAGATGAGAAATAAAAGGCGTAAAAATACCCAGGGGCAGAGTGTAATGAGGGGCCCTGAAGTTCCACTGCAGATGCTTTTTCCTCCACTTTCCCAAGCTTTTTCCTTTTCGCCATGCACACACGGCTGGTGGCATAGCATGAAGAGTAATTAACCATATTCAATTTACAATACTGCGTTCCATTACAGGCTTTTTTCACCAGTAGGAGAGTGGCAGGGCATTTCCAAATTTAGACCTAACAACACTTATGTCCAGCTCCATGGTTGCTTGTCTGAAACCGGCATTTAACTTTTTATTTGCCTAAACATCAGCGCTG